AATTAGTTATTGTTTTTTGGTGTTACTCAGGGCTTACTCCTGGCTCTGCACTCAGGAATCACCCTTGGTGGTGCTTAGGGACCATATGGGATGCCAGGGATGGGACGTTGGCTGTGTGCAAGGCAAGCGCCTACCCACTGAATTATCTCTCTGGCCCCATATTAATAATTTAAAAGAGGAAACTATTAACTCCAGGAAGAACAGAGAACTGCAAAGTAACCATCGTACATCTCACTACTGTGCTACCACCAGCATTTAAATAATCTTAATAAAGTATATACTGGCTTAATCAAAATATTGATACAACTATTTGCAGATAGACAAAGTGTGTAACTGTGAGTGAGGGGGGGAGAGTGATGGGAGGAACAGCAGCAAACACTCATTTTACAGCTGTGAAGTCAACTGATTCTGCCGTTTGGAAACGAGGGCACAGATGCCAGCAGAGAAGCATTTTCTCTGGGAAGCGGAATGGTGAAAGTTCAGGGGCTATTATTCCATATGTTTTTTGCCGTGATTTGTTTGGGGTTTTATTTAATTTGGTTTTCAAGACACAGTCAATGTGCTCAGGGGTACTCCTGGTTTGGTGCTCAAGGGGTGGGAAGCTTTCCCTGTACTGCTTGGGGGACCATGGCAGGGAGGACAGTTGGGGCTCCCACCCACAAAGAAGGCGTCCTAGCCCCCTAAGTGACTGATCTCCACACCCTGGCTTGTGTTTGCTAAGGAGAAGCATTTTTAAATAGCTCAGCTCAAACTGCGCTCATGACGGACATCTGGTCCTTCGTCTGATCAGATGACAGCCCGTTATCATTGCTTACGAGCAGCCCCATCTCAGAGCGTCCCAGGAGACGATAACCAAATCATGGGTGTAACGTGCATTTCCACCATCACTCTTGTCCTGCTGGTGGCTAAGAGCCCAAAGGGCATGTGAGCAGCGTGTCCTCAGAATGAGCACATGGCAGCATGCAACACTCATTCCTGGGGCGAATGATGAAACAGGTGAGAGAGAGGTAAAGCCGATGGACACTTGCCACTCGTGTAGTGTTCGTACGTATTTATAAATACTCAGAAGTCTGGAGAAGCACAGCACTGACCTTAAGGCAGTCCAGGAAAACCAGCAAGCTTTTTAATGGGTAAAAGATGAAGCAAGAGCTGATATAGCACAGCAGGTAGGGCATTTGCCCTGCACACAGCCGACCCGAGTTCAATTCCCAGTATCCCATATGGTCACCCAAGCACTGCCAGGAGTAATTCCTGAGGGCAGAGCCAGGAGTAACCCCTGTGCATCGCTGGGTGTGACCCAAGAAGCAAAAAAAAAAAAAAAGATGAAGCGAGACAGGCAAGTGTACATGACAACTGACAGGGGTATAAGCATGCATACACATCTATTTTCATGTATATTAGACAATTCTCTTAAAAAAGAAGAGCAAGAAATGCAGATCTGGGGAGAGAGCTCGAAGGGCTACTGCTCCAGTGTCCGAGAGAGAGAGAGAGAGAGAGAGAGAGAGAGAGAGAGAGAGAGAGAGAGAGAGAGAGAGAGAAAGAGAAAGAAGGAAAAGGGAGAAACTGGTCAGTGGTTGGACAATGTTATGTGGGAGTTGAGGGTAGTTAAGATAGAGGAGGGTCCATTATGACAATACTAGTTGAAAATGATTGTTCTGGATAAGAACTGAATGTTGAAAGCAGGTAAAGGGAAAGACATGATAACCTTTCAGCATCTGTATCGCTGAACCATGATACCTAAAATGAGTAAGAGAAAGAGAGAGCTGCCTGCCACAGAGGCAGGCTAGGCTGGGGGTGGCTTGATGGGGTGGGAGGGAAACTGGGGACACTAGTGCTGGGAAATTACACTGGTTGGGGAGATGGATGTTGGGACATCGTATGACTGAAATGCAATCAAGAACAATTTGATAATGTTCTATCTTACAGTGATTCGATAAAAATATTAAAAAATAAAAACTAGCTTTTTTTATGGGCATTTTGGAAGAACTGAGAGTAACACAGGTGGGGAACTTGCCTTGGATGGAGCTGACAGTGGTTCAAGTCCCAGCACCCCAGATGGTCTCCTTGCCAGGAGTGATCCCCGAGTGCAGTGGCAGGAGAAAGCCAGGTGTGGCAGAAAAAAACGAAAAAGGGAGTTTGGGGTTGGGGACATAGTTCAGTGGTAGAGTGTTCACCTAGTAAATGTGAGGCCCAGGGTTTGATCCCCAGCACCATAAAAAATAAAAGGGGAGATGGGACAATTTTTCCAGAGAATCAAAATCACCTCTATAGTCCTGCCCTGTTCCTCGGCCTAGGAAAGCTCCCACTGAGCTCTCAGAATGGCCGGTGGCCTCAGGCAGGGTTTGCGGCACTGGACACGAGGCAGGGTGGCTTGGGGGCGCAGGCCTGGAGCTCTCTTGCAGCTCACAGCGGGTGAGATTCGAATCTCAGCATCAAGCAAAACAGAAGAAGGGAAAACAAGTCCAAGATTTCCATTTCAGTCTAAGAGATAAAGAGGGCTATCAGTCCTGAAAGCAAAACTCCCCTTTTTCTCCCCCCAACACCCCGACACATGCCGAGCACATGGAGAAAGACAAGGGAGCTAAAGTGAGCGTGTCGCATGTGGCTCTATGGAGACCGTCTGGTCAAAGGACAGAGTTCTAGGAGGGAAGTGGCCCAGACAGCAGGGGCCCAGGCTCTATTCACAACAGAAAGTAAGAAGCTAAAATCTAGGGACACGCAAAGGTAGGGGTATACGGTAGGACAAGAGAACCAAGGAGCTAATGAGGCAAGGGTGAATCTGAGGTGACTGTCCATTGTCACTTCTAATTCGAAGTTTGGTGCTCCCGCTCAGCCTTCTCTGGCAAGCTTGTTCAGGCCCAAATCCCTCACTTCATCCCTGACGCTTGTCTTTCTCCCACAAGCCACATCCCACCAAACACTCCTGGCGACAGTCACTCGATGCCAGGCAGTGTTCCGGGTAAACAGAGAGCAGTGGAAATACAAGCTCAAAGCAGCCACCGTGGGGGCGAAGCCACAGGACAGCAGGGAGGGCATCTACTCAGCTGACCCAGGCTCGATTCCCGACATCTCACATGGTTCCCCAAGCACCGCCAGCAGTGATCCCTGAGCCAGGAGTAAGTCCTGAGCACTGCCAGGGGTAGCCCCAAACAGAATATCTGCCCCTGAAGAACTGTATCTTCTAGAGGTACAATCAGAAAATAAATAAGAAAAACAAGCAAAACCATATTGTATCTGATTATGTAAATACTATGGACCAAAAGCAGCAAAGAGGAATGGAACTGGAGGGGGAAGATTACAGGTTTGATTAGTGTCAGCATATCTTAAAGTCAGCAAATTCCATCAACTTTCTTTTTCTTTTTGGGTCACACCCAGCCATGCACAAGGGTTACTCCTGGCTCTGCACTCAGGAATTACTCCTGACAGTGCTGGAGGACCATATGGGATGCTGAGAATCGAACCCAGGTCGACCGCGTGCAAGGCAAACGCCCTACCCGCTGTGCTATCGCTCCAGCCCCGTATCTTATCAATTTTATCTTCAAAATGAATCTAGAAATAATCTTCACACAACTTCCATGGGCAAGAAAAACCATCTCGCACTGCCATCCCAGGATGGCAACTAACAGCCTCTGCTCTTATAGCCCAGAATCTGTTCTCAGCGAAGCAGGCAACAATTCCGTTACTGAGTCGGTCAGTCGGTCCGTTACTCAGTCGTCTCAGACCTCCCAGGGGGCCTAGAAACAGACAGACCCTTCAGCTTCACTGCCATGGAACACGATTCTGGCAGGGCCTAGAAGCCCCGAGTTATAATGAAGTGAATCAGGTGCTTGTTGGAGTTTTCCCACAGTGCTCAGGAGTCCTGGTAGCTGCTGGTTCCATTGAGAGAGGACCGAAGCTGGGTAGGCTACTAAAAGAGAAAGAGCAAACAGGCTCAGGACTTGAAAACCTGGGAAGAAGGGGACAAAAATGATTCCCTGAGATGTCCCGGCAGGAGCAAACGCTTTCATTCCTTAAAGACTCAGAGACAAGCAGAGCGCCCCCAGGGCAGGCAATGCCGGCTGAGGGCAGAAGCCAACCAATGGGCCCTCCTGTAAGCAGATGGAGGCCAGGGATGAGCAAACTCAGCTCAGCAAGCCACACCACGATAGTGCAGCTCAGCAAGCCACACTGCGATAGCACAGCGGTTAGGGCGTTTGTCTTGCATGCGGCCGCCCCGGGTTATAGCCCCAGTCTCCCAGATGGTCCCTCGAGCAGGGCCAGGAGTAATTCCTGAGTTCAGAGCCAGGAGTAACTCCCGTGCACTGCTGGATGTGGCACCCAAACAAACAAACAAACAACAGCAAAAAGTACCTTCTGGAAGGGGATTAGTAACTGTCTAGAAAGAAATGCTCCATCAACAGACATCTATCTAGCTACACAGAGGCCGGGGCTAGGGAGGAATCTCAGCTATTGATCAGGGCTTAGGAATGGAATAAAATAGGCCCGTTCAAGCTATGTCTGTTAAGTCAGGAGCAATAGGACTGGAGCGATAGCACAGCGGGTTGGGCATTTGCTTTGCACACAGCCGACCGGATTCGAGTCCCAGCATCCCACCTGGTCCCCCAAGCACCGCCAGGAATAATCCCTGAGTGCATGAGCCAGGAGTAACCCCTGTGCATCTCTGGGTGTGACCTAAAAAGCTGAAAAAAAAAAAAGAAAAGAAAGGAGCAACATATTTCGGGTCTTGAGAATGGGGTGCCAGGCAAAGTGCCCTGAAAGGACAAAAGGAAATGACAAAATGTTTATGAAATAAGCCAAAGGAAGCCAGAAAGGGTTGAGGATCTGTGCCTGAAATACAGTTACAAATACCCGTTCGAGCAAAACTCAAAGCCTTAACAAAGGTTTACTTATACAATTAGTTCCATCTGAAAGTCAGATTTTTATCTAAGTCTATTTGGACCTGTAAATTTTACATAATCTATCTGGTTAATTTCATTATCAAGTATACATGGAGACTGGAGTTTGATATAAGTATGAATTTATTGACATCAATTTCCTTAAGTTATTATTCCAACACAGAGAGGGTACGGAAAAGCTAAAGACAATGATAATAAATCCACAAGATATGAATTTTGCAAGTCCCACTCCTTCAGAGAGAGAAAGAGAGCAGTATGCATATTTTTAAAAAGAATCTGGGAGACTGCTTTCAATTATAGCAAGTAATGACAATTTGACAATTTAAGCATTTTATCCAGAAACATATATCTATTCCATAGATACCAAATCGATTACCATATAATTGAGTTTGAAAATATACAAAATCTTTGTTGTTCTTACATACTGAAATTAAAACCTAATTTTAAAAAGTGCACGGTAAAAACAGCATTAAGGAAACCTACAATATCCATGGTATGTGTATTGTTTTCCATTTTACTGTCAACATCAAGTTCTGGTTTTGCCTTCCTGGTTACAAATGTATCTGACGACGCGTGCCCAGCCGTGGACAGCTGACGAGTCACTCGGTCCACAGTGCTCCAGCTTCCTGACGGCGGCCAGCGCTGGGCGCGGAGTCTGGCCCTGCAGCTCCCGGCAACAGTCGCAGCTCTGGAAGAAGTCAGCAGCCAGCTGTGTGCCAACTACCGGCCTTTGTTCTTCTTAGAATTTCCCTGCGCAGAGAAAAAACACCGACCGTAAGAACATAACCCCTAGCGAAGCAGTTCCCCTAGTTTATGAACCCATGTCGAGAAGTCTTGGAAAACTTTCTTTCCCAAGAGCGGAAGAGCTGATAGGAGCCTCGGCTGGTGTCTGCTCAGGCTGTTACCTTCAGCTCTTCGTGTTCTGAGCATGGACGATAAAGAAATAAAAAGGAAGCTATTGTGGATTTCTCCAATCTCAGAGAGTCATTTTGTTTCAAAGACAAGGGAGTGTATGACTTTTGAAACTGGCTCGTGAAATGTGAGTCTAAACACATTTCTTGGTTGGTTAATTAAATATCCTTCAAAGGTCCCACTAAGTCCTGATTCTGAGACTCTGTTTACCAATACCCCAAAGACGATGATTATCTGACAGGAGGGAGCTCTGGCTGAGAATGGCTTCCAAGGCAAATGTCCTCTCTCTGTCTAGTTCATGGGAATTTGGGCTTCCTAGTTTAACTTTGCTTCTTCCTGGAGTTCACTTTTTAGGAAAACAGTCTAATAAATTCCTATACTCAGCTATTAGGTACAAATATTGAGTTTTAAACATAAGTGGGCAATGTTTGCAGAATACAAATGTTAAGAGTAAGGTAACAGCAAACAGATGGTCTGGGATGTCACCCAGTACCCTCAGAAACCATGGCACGCAGCTGGAACTACAGCCAATGAAGTCACTAGTGAACAGGTAGGTGCAAGACACAGGGACACAGATGATGACAAGCTACAAAGTAAAGAGTAGACTTGAGTTGCAGTAATGACAAGTATTTTCATTATTTTTAGTTTTTTGGGGGGCCACACCCAGTGAAGCTCGGGGGTTATTTCGGGCTCTGCACTTAGGAATCACTCCTGGCACTTAGGATCACACCATATGCCATCCCAGGGGTAGAAGCTGCGTCTGCCACAAAGCAATCACTACAGCTGCTGAACTATCTCTCTACCCAGTGACAAGTGTTTGCTTTGGGGCCACGCCCTGCAGTGCTCAAGGACTCTGGCTCAGGGATTAGTCCTGGGAGCGCCCGGGGAACATAAAGGATGCCAGGGATCCAACTCGGATCCAGCTCAGGTTGACGTGTATTGTTGCTCTGGATCCATTTTATTTTTTTTATTTTTTAATGAAAAGAGAATATAGTTGTTGTCCAGAAGTACAATTCTTTTTTTAACCTTTATTTATTTTTAATTTTTATTAGTGAAACATTATGAAGTACAGTTGTGGACATTACAAGTTTTTGTGCTTGGGTTTCAGTTATATAATGATTGAGTACCCATCCCTCCACCAGTGTCCAGTCTCCACCACCACAGATCCGAGTATCCCTCCCCCATCCCACCCCGCCTCTGTGGCAGGGCATTCCCTTTTGTTCTCTCTCTCTTATTGGGTGTTGTGGTTTGCAAAAGAGGCAATGAGTGGCAATCATGTTCAGTCTATAGTCTACTTTCAGCATGCATCTCCCATCCTGGGAGGATCCTCCCAACACCCTTTACTTGGTGTTCCCTTCTCTATTGGAGCTGCCTTTTCCCCTAGCATGTGCGGCTGGACTCCAAGCCATGGAGTGAACCTCCTGGTACTTATCTCGACTATTCTTGGATGTTAGTCTCTTATTTTGTTACCTTATATTCCCCAGATAAATGCAATCTTTCTATGTCTGTCCCTCTCTTTCTGACTCATTTCACTTAGCATGATACTTTCCATGTAGTACCACTTGTATGTCAATTTCATGACTTCATCTTTTCTAACAGCTGCATAGTACTCCATTGTATAGATGTACCAAAGTTTCTTTAACCAGTCATCTGTTCTTGGGCACTCAGGCTTTTTCCAGATTTTGGCTATTGTGAACAGTGCAGCAATGAACATAAAAGTGCAGATGTCATTTTGACTGTACTTTTTTGCCTCTCCAGGATAAATTCCCAGGAGTGGTATTGCTGGGTCAAATGGGAGCTCAATTTCTAATTTTTTGAGAATCGTCCATACTGTTTTCCAAAGGACTGAACCAGTCGGCATTTCCACCAGCAGTGAAGGACAGTCCCTTTCTCGCCACATCCACGCCAACACTGGTTGCTTTTGTTCTTTTGGATGTGGGCCAGTCTCTGTGGTGTGAGATGATGATATCTCTTTGTTGTTTTCATCTGCATCTCCCTGATGATTAGTGATGTAGAGCATTTTCTCATGTGCCTTTTAGCCATTCTAGAATTCTTCTTTGAGAAAGTTTCTGTTCATTTCCTTGCCCCGCTTTTTGATGGGGTTGGATGTTTTCTTCTTGTGGAGTTCAACCAGTGCGGGTATTGGGTAAATATCCTTTCCCATTCTGTAGAATGTCTTTGTATTCTGGTCACTGTATCTTTTGAGGAGCATAAGCTTCCAAATTTAAGATAGTCCCATTTGTTTATCTGTTTCCACTTGCATCGTCAGTGGAGTGTCGTCTTTGAAGATACCGTTAGCCTCAATATCGTGGAGGGTTTTACCGACCTTGTCTTCAATGTACCTTAAGGATTTTGGCCTGATGTTAAGATCTTTAATCCAGTTTGATTTGACTTTTGTGCATGGTGTTAAGTCAAAATCTAAGCCCATTTTTTTTGCATGTGGTTGTCCAGTTATGTCTCTCTTTTATTTATTTTTCCACAGTTACAAAAGCATAGCATTTACTATTGTCTTTCTGTGCCCATACAAAAAGGACATTCTCTGCTGGCTGTCTCTCTTTTAAAGAACCTCCAGGGTCAGTGACCTTCGCTGGACTCAACATGGATCCTTCTCAATTCAGAACCCATAGTCTCCTGTGACTCTGCCCTCTGTCAAGTTAACTGACAGTCACTGCCACTCACTTTCAAATATCTGATGCGAAAACAGGCTTCCTTATACTACTCATCCTATTTTTTTTTTTAGCTTTTTGGGTCACACCCAGCGATGCACAGGGGTTACTCTTGGCTTTTCACTTAGGAGTTACTCCTGGTGGTGCTTGGGGGACCCAGATGGGATGCTGGGAACCGAACCTGGGTTGGCCCATGCAAGGCAAATGCCCTTCCCGCTGTACTATGGCTCTAGCCCCAGACTAGGAATAGAGCCTGGAGCTACTGCCCTACTTGGGTATCAATATGGAGAGGCCAGAGGCCTGAGGGAGGCATTCTTCAAGAATACCAACCCCCCACCCAACACTACCCCCAAGCTCAAGTTTCCTGAAGCCCAAGGAACATCAGCACCATAATCAACACCATACTGTCTGCTTCCAGTCTCCAGGAGATGTCCCAGAAAGCATCACTGACACGCTCCAGAGCAGCCACAGGACAATCAGTGTCACAAGATGATGCTGGAAACCGAAATTCTAGAAGACCGATCCCAATGCATTACCATCATCTACTTTCTGGGGAGAGCCCAGTTGCGCTGACGGTTGCCCCCCACACTGACCACGGTTAAAACAGCCACGCTTAACACAACCTCCTCCTCCAGGCCAGCACACAGCAGGGGCTCAGTAACGCCTGCTAGGCCAGCAAGAGCGTCACTAAGAGCAGAGGCCTGTGATCCCAGCTGGATTCCCGGCTGGAGGTGTCACAGAATCAGCGGAGTTACCCAAAATGGGCTAAGCACGGCACCAAGGCCTGGGTTTCCTGACACCCCTCCAGGTGTTACAACCACAGGTTTTACGAAGTCAAAGGACAAACTGCTTCTGCTTATAAAGGGGCCGGAGCAAAAGTCCGGCGGGGAAGGTGCTTGCCTTGCCTGCAGCTGACCCAGGTTTGATCCTCAGCATCCCATATGGCCCCTTGAGCACCGCCCAGAGTAATCCTGGAGTGTGGAGCCATCTGAGCATCGCTGGGTGTGCCCTCCCTCCCAAGCCCCCTCAAGAAAAAGGGTATGTTTCAGAATAAATCTGTAGAAGACTTTCATTCTTGAGCAGCCCCATTTTAGAATCGCATAAGAGCAGAGCCATCCAAGGCCTGAGAGACAGCACAGGAGCTAAGGTGCCTGCCTGCAGCCCACACCTCTGACACCCAGCATTGCATATGAATGGTCCCCTACACACAGCTAGGAGTGACCCCTGAATACTGCCCAAACCCCTCTCCATGCGCATGAAGAGAAAAAAAAAATAGAGCATTCCCCTGGAAGAGTCTTGTTCACTGATAACAACAGTCCCAGAAATACCAAAAAACAGAGGTACCCAGAAATCACAACTCTCGGCTCATGACTCAAAGAAAGTTGATTTAACTTGTGGAACAGATGGCAAGGAATATTAAGGGATATTAAGAAAAACCACTCAGGGACTAGAGAGGCAGCAGAGCAGGGAGGCCGCTTGCCTTGAACACTGCCGGGTGCAACCCCCGGCCCCCGCCAGGAGTGGCCCACGCCCCCTCCCACTCCAGAAATAGGAGCATCATCAATAAATCAATAGCACCGGAAGCCCCGAGGTGGGGCAGCAAAGCCCACTCTCCCAGCCAACCTTGCTGGCCAGCTTCAGTGTGTCGATCTCCTCCCGCTGCTTGGACAGCGTCTCGTTCATGCCACACAGGTGGTCGCTCATCATGCTCAGCTGGTCCTCGTAGCTTCTCTTGGTGGTCGTCAGCTCGTCCTGAACAGGAAAAGACGGGCACGCTGAGCGTTTTCATTCGTAAAACACCAAACCTGCTGCGGAACGCTTACTAGGAGACCGATGTGATCCATCGGAGTGAAGTTTAGTCATAAGCTAAGAGAACACACTCGGAAGAAATGGGAGAAGGTCTGCCTCGCCTGGGATCTCTTCAGGATTCCTGTGCAACAATGCGACAGCTCCCTGCCTCCACGTGATGGGTACAAGAGTCTAACACCACCCACAAAGCAAACACAGAGGACCCCCCCCGCACACACACACTCACACCGTGGGCTTACCCCACCTCGGAAGGGGTGTGGGGAAGAGGGCTGTCTCTGACAGAGAGGGCCCCAGAACTCAGGGCAGGAGTCTGTGGGGGAGACAGCAGCTGAAAGCCCTGGAGCTCTGGGCTTGACCCCAGGACCACATGGTTCCCTGAGCACAGAGCTTGGAGTGGCCCCTGAGCATGGCCCAGTACGGCCCCAAACTGGAAACAAAGAAAAATAAAGAAAAAAAACATTTAAAGAACGAGAGCAGGACCTGGGACAAAGCACTGTGCTTTCTTCCAGGCTCAGTCCCCCTCCCAGGGCCCTGCCGGGCTACGGCCAGGCCCCGGGCAAACCCACAGGTGACAGTGAGGAAGCAGGTGGGACTGCACTGAGGAGATTTTGTAAACTTGATAGTGGCTTTCTGCAGGTAAGGCTTCAATCCAAAGCTGGAGTGAGGATGGGTTGTGTTTGCAGCCTGACTTCTCAGGGGCCGTCCGTTTCATGAAACAGTGAAGGAACAAAATAGCAAAGACAGAACAAGCTACAGCCACTGCGGCTGGAGTCACGGGAACGAGGAAGGACAGGAAGGGCCCCAGGAAGTGCTGCTACAGAACCACTGAAATACAAGTCAGAGAAGTTGGGCCCAACATCAAGGTTGCCATCACCGAATTATGTATGTTTGTGGGCGGGGGGAAGAGTGCTCCTGAGCACTCTGGGGAAGGTAGGAGTGCTCCTGAGCATTGTGGGTGGCAGGAGTGCTCCCAAGCACTGGGGAGAGCAGAAGTGCTCCTAAGTGTTGGAGGGGGAAGCAGGAGTGTTCCCAAGAACAGTGGGGGTTAGGAGTGCTCCCGAGCACTGTGGGGTCCAGGGGCTCAACACTCACAGCTGCGAGGCATGCAAAGCCCCCCCCCCACCTACTCCGTCCAGGAGGTGACTTATAAATCAACAGAAATAAAGTGCTTACAAAAACATGTCTAAAGAGTCAAATGTCCTCACTTAAGAAGGAAAATAAAATCTTTTCTGCCCTAGAGCTCTCAATGAAAATCCACTTTAAACCTGCTCCAAGAGGGCTGGGACATGAGCTTTACATGCGGGCCCCAGGTCTGATCTCTGGGACGCTGAGCACTGCACCGGGAATAGCTCTGAGCTCACCAACCGCGCGTCCTCTCCGACTCTTAGCTAAAGGCTGTGCAAGGTCACCTGTGAACTCACCTGAAGTCTGCTGATGTTCTGACTGGCCACTTTCATCTCCTCTGTCAGTGCCTCTTTAGACTTCTCAGCAAGGGCGAGTCTTTTAGAGAGTGCTCGACACTGAGAACCAAAAACACACTGCGTCATCCAGAAGCATTCCCCAGGACCAAACTCATTCCCAGGGAGGTTACTAGGAAACAACCTCAGAGTCGAAAGTTCCTCTCCCCTCCCCCTTTCCTTCTTCCCCCCTCCCTTCCTTCTTCTACAAATACAGGCTTTGCACGATGCCTGAGAGAGAGAGAGAGAGAGAGAGAGAGAGAGAGAGAGAGAGAGAGAGAGAGTGTGTGTGTGTGTGTGTGTGTGTGTGTACGTGGGGGGTGGGGGTGAGGGGGGCTACACTCTTCATTTTAATAAGGGGAAACATCTGCTAACTCAAACTTAACAACTTTTTCCCTGGTCTAGCCTGACTTTTTTCTGGTAGATACAGAACATGAAAGTTTGTATTTTTTTTCTCTAGGAAATCATTAATACTCACATCAATGAGGATAAGAAAAGTGGTTATTTGTCCATTTTTTTTTTTTGGCCACACCCAGCAATGCTCAAGGGTTCCTCGTGGCTTTACACTCAAAAATCAATCCTAGGAGTGCTCTGGGGACCATGTGAGAACCAGGGATCGAACCTGGGTCAGCTGCATGCAAGGCAAGTACCTGCTGTTCTATCTTTCCAGCCCCAGGAAGTGGCTATTTCAAGTCCTCCACGGCTTCTGAGCACGTAACATCTAATGTGCAGTTTAGAGCCTTTATTAAAGACAACACTATGGAACAATAAAGTCCCACCATCTCACTACAGATGAGGCTCGACCCACATGGAAAAAAATGGGAGTGCAGGACTGTAAAGACCCCAGCTGCTCTATTTCTAGGTCCAACCAATTCTAAACTAGCCAGAGAAAAAATCAGAAAACTGCTATTTCCACTATCATGCAGAGGATCTACCACCTGAAGAGTCAGTAAGCTGTAGGCTCGCCATGAGACCCATAAGGAGATTCTGTCCAGAGACATTTGCATGTTGTGTCAACAAGAGTCTCAGGCTGGCCATGCCAGTAAACTCCCGAAAGGGCTCACCACTTCCTGTTTACAGAGGAGAAAGAATTAGGATGACTGGAAAACTCCTGTAGCACAAGTGCACACAAGACATTCACGAAGATAAGCAAATCTCTTGGGAATTAAACAGACTCCAAACTTTTTATTACTCATTTTATTCCTCACAAAATGTCAGTCAAGCCCAGACAAGCGAATCAACTCCCCTCTATCGAACAAGAATACACTGTGTGCTCAATAATGAACTCAAAGGCTAGGAAGAGAGAGTTCTGCAAGGCAAGAATCTCAGGAAGATAACCAAGCCTGGAGACAATGAGGTAATGAGGGATCCACTGTGAGTCACACGGCGTGGTGGGATGGCAGGTGCCACAGCCCACAGCGCTGAACACAGCTGCCAGACACAGTCACTAAGCTGTCACTGGAGCTGCTTTGGCAGCGAGGACACCATTCACTACAGTGGGGAGATGCAAGGGCCCTCCCCGCTCCAGCTGAGAGCTTCCCTCCAGCCTCTGGTCAGAGCCGGGGAAAGGAAGGCGCTTTCCTTTTCCAGTTGAACCATCTGAAGCATCACCATTCTCCTTCTGCCACTTCAAACTCGCCTTTGAGCATCACATTTCAGACCAGCGAGCTCACAGGGATTCTGGATGTTGAGCGGAACATTCCAACCAACGCGTTTCCTACTCTTTGAGATCTATACTTTCTTTCTCCGTTTCCATCCCTGTAGCCGATGGGCTGTGTAAAATTTTATGGATTATCTGTCATCGGTGTTTTTCTAATTCTTTTAAGAAAGTTATTTGATGGGGAAGAAAAAGATCTAACAAGAAGATCACATATCTTTTAAAGGCTGACAGATTACATTTTCTCACTTACAGAAATCCCCTCTATCTACAACAGCCATTTTGAAACTGGAACTTTTTTTTTCCCAAATAAGATATATTATGCTTTGAAACTTCCCTATATGATAATTCCTGTGTGTATCAACTTGTCTATCTCCCTCTAAAATAGTCAGTAATGATAATAATGCCCCATACATATGCAAACACAGAATTTTTTTTTCCTTTTTGGGTCACACCCAGCGATGCTCAGGGGTTTCTCCTGACTCTGCACTCAGGAATCACTCCTGGCGATGCTTGGGACCCTATGGGATGCCGGGGATCTAACCCAGGCAAACGCCATCCCCACTGTACTATCACTCTGGCCCCCATATGTGACCACAGAAAAGTTAGAACTCTCTCAGCTATCTTTCCATAACCTGGAAATTATAAATCAATCCTACTATTTGTGAAAATGAAGATGTCTGGTGTATATACTAACCAATCAATATGAACTCCAACCAAATACAAACAAATTCGTAGACAATGACTTTTTCGTTGAGGTTGACCAGCAGAAGACCAGGATGGTTCCCCAATTCCTGCAGTGCCCAGAGAAGCCCGCCGAGCTAAGGAGGTCTGTGCTCACCTCAGCATAGAAGTGCACGGACTTGCTGTCAGCCAGCTGCAGCTGCGAGGTGAGCTCCACGATCCTGGCCATGTAGTGATTCTTAATCAAGTCTTCCCGAGACTCCACATCTGGAACCTAAACAGAGCACACACACCGCCTCACTCAGTGTCATGAAGCAAAAAAACAACTCTGCACATCTGGAATCTAATTGGAAATCCTGATTTTTCTACTCTTCAAAGAAACTTCAGACAGGTTAGAAAATGTCTATTTCAGGAGCTGGAGAGATAGTACAGCGGGGAGGACATTTGCCTTGCATAGAGCTGACCCCAGTTCCATTCTCGGCATCCCATATGGTTTCCCATGCAACACCAGGAGCCATTCCTGAGCGCAGAGCCAGGAGTAACCCCAGAGTGTCGCTGGGTGTCCGCCACCCCCAATCAAATTAACTTCATCTAGTATCTTGGCTATCTATGGAGAAAGTTGTGGCTTTCAGAGAACAGACCAGCTCTGAAGCACGGAGAACCTGGCACTCTCCTCTACACAGCTTTCATCAGCCACAACCTGACTTCTAAGAAATCTCGATCTGTCCGATTCCTCTGCTAATGCCTTCAACTGCAAGAAGGCCAGGGAAGAGAGCCTATGTTGAAACTGCTGAAATTCAAACATTCTTTTTCCTCCCAATTTCAACAGAGCTCTAATGCTCTCAAACTTACTAACAAATAAATTTCTTATAATAAACAGTTTATGGCCGAGTCCTAGAGATCCTCCTAGTTACCCTAATGACCACACAGGATTGTGTTTACTTTTAAATACCCATGCAGAAAAACAAAAAGGCGGGGGGGGGGGGGGTGGAATATGCAGAAATGAGGGGATCAGCTAAATATAAAACCAATGAAAGGAGTCCAAGAATTTACCAGCCTACTTGGACTCTGCATGCCAGCTTACCACAGCAAGTGGTAAACTTGAAAGACTTCAATTGTCCTTTTAATAGTTATTTACAGTGAGTTACCTCTTTATTTTCAAAACTCCAACATGCACGCCTCCTGGACAAGGCAGAACCACCTAAGGCGGCTGGTCAGGCGAGAAGCCAGACTGCCCACCCCCCCCCCCCCCCGGGCCTTCGAGCCAGCGACGGCTGGGCTGGAACTGCGCCTTGTCAAACTGCCAACCAAAGTCGCTCAATGCAGCAATTACAAAAACAGACTATAATTTGTTGGTGACAATTTGAACAGAACCAGAAAGAAAAGCAAGATGGATGTACCAAGAAGGGGGGGTGGGGGGCTGGGCAACAGGGCCCAGATTTGCTGAGATCGTCAGAAAACGCCATTGGACAAAGCTGTGTTTTCCAGAACTTGTGGACAAACACTTGGCCAAGTGTTTACTAACAAACAACACGATGCCAAAGTACACATTACCTCATTGTCCGAAGTCCTGGTTAAAATCCCGATCTGGAAGAGAACATAAGCGGGAGGGGAGGGGAGGAAATCTTTAGAACAGACTGTTTCCATTTCCAACACAATCGTTTACAAATCTGCAGGATTTTCTCTGTGCAGTTCGTGCTGCTTTGGATGAGTGCTCTGGTCAGCAGTGCTCAGGGCGGCTTTAAACTGTTTCTTTGGTTTCTGGGTCATACTGGTAATGCTGGTTGTACTTGCTGTGTAGTGCTCAGGAGTTGCTTTTAGCAGTACTCGGGGACCATGCAGCACTGGGGGCCACCCCTGGGGTCTCCACATGCACTGGGGCTTTGTATTTTCCATGACCGCTGGGTTATTTGGTTTTCTTGTTTTCTTTTACTGTAGGATTTATTTATTTATTTATTTATTTATTTATTGGCACCAGCGATGCTCAGGGGCTACTCCTGGCTCTGCACTCAGGAATCACTCCTGGCAGTGCTCAGGGAACCATATGAGATGCCAGGGATCGACCCCAGGTCTGTCGCATGCAAGGCAAATGCCCTACCCGCTGTACTACTGCTCCAGCCCCCTATAGGTTTAAAAAAAACAAAACTGGATATTTACTAGCTTTTGTCTTTATAAAGATTATTTATTTTAAAACATTATTATAACACTGTAATCATCAAATCGCTCATAATACACCGAATGTTTCAGGTATTCAATGTTCCAAGCCCAATCCCATCGCTGTGTGACCTTCCCTCCACCAATGGTGCTCTGTTCCCACCCGCTACTCAGTCTGCGCCCTAACTTCCCACTGTTTGTCACAACACACAGGAAAATGAAGTGCTGGAAACTTAGATGAGTGAGTCAGCCTGTGACCACACTCAGGTCTCACTCTAGCGCTGCTGAAGCCGCTGTCTGGGGCAGGCTGGGCTGGTGACAGGGGTTGAGCTTCTTTCTTTAAAATCTAGATTTACTACATTTTTTTTCACAATCAAGATTTACTAGAGAATTTCTTACATGATTCTTTTTTGCTCCCAATTATTTCTTTCCCTTCTAGTCTTTGAATACCAGAGGGCTGGCTCTGAGAGAGGAGCTGTTCGGGCAGACCCTGTGCTGAGTCAGCATTTCCTCGCTTGGAATGTGGTTGGCGGGGAGGGGGGCGGAGCTCTGGCCCTGCATGTGCGAGACACTGGATTCATCGACCAGTACAGCAAAAAGGAAATAGAAATTCATTGTCTATTTCTGAGTTTGGGGCCACACCTAGTGATGTTCAGGGCTGACTCCTGGCTCGGCACTCAGGAATCACTCCTGGTGGCACTCAGGGGACCACAGGGATGCGGGGATTGAACCTAGGTATGCCATGTGCAAAACAAGTGCCTTAGCCACTGTACTATTTCTCCAACCCCCAAAGAAACAGAAATGTAAACAGGTCCAAGGAAGAGCCAAAGAGCCATGGTGGGCATGCATGCGGGGGGGAGGGGGGAAGCCCATGCAGGCCCCCCACCAGTACCAAACTTGGGAGGAGCGCCGAATACAAAGAAAATAACACCCCAAAAACCCGAAAGAAACTCCAAAACCCAGAAAGATACTATGTCAGTCTCTCCCACTGAAACCAATAAATTGTAAGGGAGAGAGGAAGGGCAACAGCTGACTCATCATTCCCCGTTTCCAAAGGATTGGCCAGGAAAGGGCACAGAGGTTTGGAGTGACTCGGGGCAAATCAACAACGCCTGGAAGCTCAGATGGAGACAGGAGATATACGGTTCTGTTTGATTTTTATGGAGGGGGGTCGTGAGAGGGGGCGGTTGCTGGAGAGTGAACCCAGGCTCTCACAACGAGACGGTTCATTCAGATTTAAATACCCATGAGCCACATCCCCAGTCCCAGAAATACATTCCTGACAGACTATCAGAAATGACACCAGGTTTAAATTTAGTGACTGATTTCAGATTTGTATTGGTGAATAAAGAAAATGTGGCCTTGGACCAAGTGTTTTAGAGCATGGATGTCAGGTTATTGTTCAAGATGGAAGGGTGGCTGCTGAGTATCCTAAGTCCAGTTCAGTGCATCCCGTGAGTCAGAGCGCGTGCCCGTGGACGGTATTCTCGGGTTCTGAAGGCTGCCCCTGGAGCCGAAACAACACGCAGTCTTGTCAACTGAGCATTCCCTAATCCACATCTTGACTACCTAGCTATAAAAGGATCTTTTAAAATGATTTTTTTGGTATTTGAGCCCTACCCTAGTGGTACACAAGAGCTGTTCCTAGCATGGTACTCTGGACAACTCGGGGCAGTTCTCGGGGGGACCATATGTGGTGGTCCTGGGGACTGAACCCGGGTCTCTTGCATGCAAAGTTTGTGCTCAAGTCCACTGAGCATTCTCTTTGGCCCTTGTCTTCTTCTTTTGTATTTTTATTATTTTTTAAGTTTTTTTTTTTTTTTTTTGTGGATCACACCTGGCGATGCTCAGGGGTTGCTCCTGGCTCTGCGCTCAGGAATTACTCCTGGCAGTGCTTGGGGGACCATATGGGATGCCGGGGATCAAACCCGGGTCAGCCGCGTGCAAGGCAAACATCCTACCTGCTGTGCTATCGCTCCGGCCCTTCTTTTTTTATTTTTTTCTTTGGAGCGATAGCACAGTGGTAGGGCGTTCGCCTTACAAGCGGCCAACATGGCCAACCGGAGTTCGATTCCTCCGCCCCTCTCAGAGAGCCCGGCAAGCTACCGAGAGTATTCGATATGCCAGACACAGTAACAACAAAAGTCTCCAATGGAGACGTTACTGGGCCCGCTCGAGCAAATCGACGATCAACGGGAGGGCCTTTACCTTTACCTTTACCTCTTTGGCCACATCTAGTGTTGCTCATGGCTTACTTCTGGCTCCTGGTTCAGAAGTCAGTCCTGGCAGTGCTCACGGACACTAGGATCGAACCCAGGCTGGCCGCATGCAAGGCAAACGCCCTACCCACTGTATTAACACTCTGGCCCTTGGCCCTTGTCTTTTGTTTTTAAAAAACAAAAAACAATAAAAGTAGAGCCACAATTTCCTATACACTGGAGCAAAGTAACAATCTCTGTTAAAAATGTTGTTAGTAACAGGCCAATCATTTTCACTTCCTACATTCCAAATATGATGACTTTTGGCATTTATTCTGCTTCCCTCCCTGGCTCTGTCACTCCGGGCTGGTTTGAGAACGTGATAAAGGCATAGGGTCCTTGCTGAAAGGGGCTGTGTGGAAACGAAAGGGAAGCCTTAATATATGAAAGTTCAACATCTTCTCATCAGCTGCCAATAAGAATATAAACTCATCTGATCCTCTTAGAAAATAATTTGTAAATAAAAAATAAGGCTACTGAAAATGAAACATGCATGCATTTTTTGGGGGGGGGGGGTGGGAGCCGGGGATTTGGCAGTGCGTGGGGACCAGTCCTGGTTCTTGGGCACAGGGGTCCACTCCCTGCAGTACTGGAGGTCCAGGCCATGCCAGGGACTGAACTGGGGTTGGCCATGTGTAAGGTGGGTACAATAGTCTCTGCACTATCTCTGTCCCCCTCCACACCAAATTCATGCTTTCTGACCCAACAGTGCTTTTTTGGGGGGAGGGGAAGCTTGAAGCCACGCCCAGCAGCCATCAGGAGCTGATCGGGCCCTGCCAGGCCCAGGGGACCCTGGCATACTGCTACGCGTTACTCTGAGCTTCTCCATTCTTGAGGCTGCTGCTCTCTCTCATAGCGACTAGCATGTGCCTGGGTGTTCCAAGCAAGGGGCTACGTTCATTCGTCAGGGAGTGTGGCCTCCCAGAAGGCATTCAGGAGGCTAGGGGCCCACCAGCAGTTCTTGGCCCAGCATGCCAGAGACCACCTGGGCCACCTTGGCAGCAGGGCCCAGGACATCGCCAGTGATGCTCAGGGCACTGTGTGCTGGACCTTCCCTGCTGGACTGTCTCCCCGTCCAGTACTAAGCATGCAGGGACTAGAGAACATTCCGCAGTGCTACAGTCAGAGGCGAGAAGTTTCCATCTTCCATTTAACTTTCCATCCAAATACTCTCATCAAAGTGATCTGGTGATGTGTAAGATGGGTTTCCTTTAAAAGGGTCACGGACTTGCTTCAAAGACCGAGAAGCTGCTCGCTCTCTGGCACAAAAAAGTTCCTCAGGAAACGCTTGTGCAAATAACAGTCTCTGAGATGCATTTTCCAACTATGTGGGGCATTTTTCTCTCCTAACTTTTTTTATTTGAATATATATATATATATATATACATATATATATATATATATCTTCTCTCTCTCTTCCCTCTCCTCCTCCTCTTTCTTTTCCCTGCCCCCCCTCCCCGCTCCCAAGAGGGCAGAAGAGCATAGTAATGAGAACATTTTTCTACAAATCCTTTTGAATCCTGTCACTAGTATAGAGTTGTTTCTTGAACTTTCTAGATCACTGCATATATGCAAGGAATGTACAGTGGCAAGCCAGTCTTTCACACTTCCTGGCAAGCAGTCAGCCCGATGGGTTTCTGAACTACACGTATGTCACGAGCCTTTGAATGCTCTAGACATCACCCGTGTACCTGGTCACCAACCACATTGGAGGCATTTCTTCAGAGCAAGAAACAGCCTTGTGTTACAAACATCTCTTAGGAAAACAATCATCTTTCACTTGACTTAGAGTTTCTTCCCAGGAAGACGGTCCTCATCCTGGGGAAGTGTCATGTCAAGCCAAAGGAGCTTACTGGAATTTCTTTTTTACAGAGGTCTCTGTTTCCCGACCTGCTCTGCACAGAGTCCCCGGGTCACTCAGGTGACAGGCCCAGGGTGAAAGAGACACTTACCAGGCTGGTGCTGGGACCGAGCTCTGCTGCAGACTTCATGGAGGCCTCCTGGCCTGCAGGGGGCACTGCGGTGCCGTTCTCCTGAGCCGGCCCAGCCACTTGCCCGCCACTTGTACTCTTCAGCTTATCAGCAATTCGCTGGTTTTCTTTCTCTAGTTTGATTTTGGCTAATTGTGCTTCTAACATCCAATGTTCCTTTTCCTGCTCCAGCTTAGAAATCTTCTCCAAACTCTGCTGAACCTTGAAAAGTCAGAAGAAATTCTGTACCTCTGAGAATGATACTAACAAAACTGTCACCCCGTCCTCCTCCTACCTGCTCCCTCAAAAAAAAAAAATTACAGAACACAAACAAAAACTGCCTCACAGAGTTGCGGAAAGACCGAAAAAACCTTCAGTCTGGACTGGGAAATATACGGTATACACAAAGCAGGAGCACAATCTGTGGTGCGGGTGTGCTTTGTAGGGAAAGAGCTCACACAAGAATCCCAGTGACCATGAGTTTCTACAAGCATGGCTCTGGTATGCGGGCACCAGGACCATTTTCCGAACCACATGGCCGCGTAAGACATTTCCTGATATGCGAAGTGATCAATGGAAAGTAAATGATCTAGTCTTTTTCCCTGAAAAACAGGTTTGAATGGTGCTGGGAAAATCTGAGCAAGATATAATGCCCAACCAAAATGCATCTGAACTGTGCATTTAACTATGGCGCTATGCTGCCCTGGGAGGGGAAGGGTGTATATTCCTCCGCCTGTCCCCCCTTGCGGCAGCAGCACGGTGGCCTGCATCTTTTAGAGCCTAAAGAACAGTCAGATATGAGACTGCATTGATGAGGCATGAGGGACCTCGTGGGATGGGGGGTAGACTTGGCCCTGCTCCCCGCCATGACAATGCTCTGGGTTGCCAGCCTCACATGCCTCCTCCGGCTTCTGAATGACCATGATCCCAGAGGCACTCAAACCAATCTCAGAACCCAGGGGCTTTTGGCAGTAATCCCTCTAGGTTTATTACTAAAATATCAAAAATCCAAATTCGCATGGCCACTATTGTGGCCACATGACATCAATTGCTCTTCATAATCAGCAACAGAAAACAAATTATCTAATGATGCCCTTTTGCAGGTCTGAATGTTGGGGAAAAATCCAAATAATAATGTTGGGCTTTTGTCATAATATTGAATGTGATCAACATAGAGAGAGACAGTAAAGTGGAAATCTGCCACATAGGCGCGGGGGGGGGGGGGGAGTGGGGGAAGAGGGGCATACTGGGGTTCTTGGTGGTGGAAAATGTGCACTGATGAAGGGACGGGTGTTTGATCATTGTATGACCGACCTAGACTTGAACTGAAAGGCTTTATGACTGTTCTCATGGTGATTCAATAAATAAATTAAAAAAAAATTAACTACAGGGGCCAGAGTGACAGCACAGTAGGGATGGCACTTGTCTTGCACGTGGCCGACCTGGTTCAATTTCCAGCATCTCCTAATGTCCCCTGAGCAACATCAGGAATGTTCCCTGAGTGCAGAGCCAGGAGTAACCCCTGAGCTTTGCCAGGTGTAGCCCAAAAACCAAAAAAAAAAAAAAAAAAAGAAACTACAATACATCAAAATACTACTTATTATTATAAGGTATTACTAAGAGAAAAAAACGCATAGCCACCAAATTTAATATCTCAGCAAAGCACATATTCAATAAAGCTACTATCACCAAAATAATTTTCACACACCAGCATGCGAAAGAGAGAGAACGCAACAGAGAAAGAGGAGAAAAATCAAAACTTTACAAAGGTGCTCAATGTCACAGTGAAGGGTAAGAAGTTTAAAGAAACCATCCAAATGGAACTGCTGTGGCCAAAGCGTGTCAAGATTATTTCCATTTAAAAGTTAATATTCTAACTCCAGCTACAATTCCAGTTTTAAGATTATTTCCACAGCAGTTATACTATGAACTCAATGAAGATGACTTGTTTAGACAATCGACAAATGTTTTTCCCTTTTTGCTTTCGGGCCACACCTGGCGAGACTCAGAGACTTCTACTCCTGGCGCTGGCTCAGGGATGGCTCGGAAAATACTCAGGCAACTATGTGGTACCAGAAACGGAAGCCAAGCACCGTGCATGCACCAGCGGGGTGCATACATCACTGGGCTGTATCTGGCACCAGGTAATTTTCTTTCTTTTTTTTAGCCTTTTAGGTCACACTCAGCAATGTCAGGGGTTAACTCCTGGCTCTGCACTCAGGAATTACTCTTGGCGGCGCTGGGAATTAAACTCAAATCAGCCATATGCAAGGCAAACCCCCTACCCGCTGTACTATCGCTCCAGTCCCATAATTTTCAATTAATTATGTCTATGATGCTTTTAGGCACACTTCAGCTAATTTAAGCTCTTCACTTACAATACCTTTGAAATCCCTGTTAAAAGTATTCTCCAGGGAATTTAACGCCTCCCATGTAAGCAAGCACAAGGCTTTCCAGGTGCCCTACCTGCTGTGCCAAGCCCTCCCGGCTTTCTGTGGAGCTGAGCAGTACCCGGCGATTCGCCAGCGCTTCTTCATAAGACACAGACTCCATGAGGGGCTGCGGAAAAAAAAAAAAGGTAAAGGTAAAGGCCCTCCCGTTGTTTGTCAATTTGCTCGAGCGGGCCCAGTAACGTCTCCATTGGAGACTTTGTTGTTACTGTGTCTGGCATATCGAATACTCTCGGTAGCTTGCCGGGCTCTCCGAGAGGGGCAGAGGAATCGAACTCGGGTCGGACATGTGGGCTGCGTGCAAGACAAACGCCCTACCGCTGTGCTATCGCTCCAGGGGAAAAGTCACCTCCTGAGCCCACACACACAAATAAGGAAGCGAAAAAGGGTGGTAAGTTTAGACATACCCAAGAGAGAGCATTCCCTTCAATACATGTGAAAAGGTTTATTCTTTTCCCAAAAAAAATAATGAATGATCACTTGCCATGCCAGTTATAACCTACACTAAAATTGTTTTCATTTTGCATCGAAGAATGATAGGGACAGGCTAGCAAATCTAGAATAGACAAAAGGCAAAATAGATAAAAATGTATTATGTGACAAATATTACAATGACATGATAAATGGCAAGGACAACTGCCTAATGACATAGAAAAATAAAATTTAGATTCTCATTTAAATTTCAGTTTCACACTCTTTTATCAGAAATTCAAGATACATTGAAATCTCAATCAACACTGGTAAAGGGCTAGGTATTGAAACACTGTATGGCTGAAAACCAATCATGAACAACCTTGTAATTTCACGGTCGCTAAATTTTAAAAAATTATTTAAAAAATCTCAATTTAAAGTTAATACCACAGATAGTGAAAAAAAGGTGAGCATTTTGCTTAAAGTAACATTATACTAGAATATTTACTGTATGTTTAATGCCTATGTATTCAACATTAGCTCACCACTAAATGCCCAATTTCATCTTTTACCATACAAATGACCCCTTGCACCCAATTTACTCACATTCCTTTAAGTAATATTTCTATAATCTTAGAAACCTGACTCAGAAACACACACACACACACATGTTTTGATATTAAAATAAAAATTTCAATTTTGAAAAAACATCACAGCAAACCAGGTGTGTGTTAAGGGGAAGACTTCCAACAGATGCATAATTAAATCCTTTATCTATCGGGAGCTCTTCCAAACTTAATTAGGAACTTTTTTTCTGGCCACACCTGCTACGCTCAAGGCTTACTCTTGGCTGTGTGCTCAGAAATCACTCCTGGCGATGCAGTGCTTAGGAAGCACATGGGGTGCCAGAGATGGAGCCTCCTTGGCCGTGTGCCAGGAACGCATTCCACTGGACTAGCTACCCAGCCCCAAACAATTGGGGATTTGTTTGTTAGGTCTTAATTTTTTTTTTTTTTGCCATGCCCCACAGTGCTCAGGGGTTACTCCTGGCTCTGTACTCCTAATGGTGCCCAGGGGACCATATGGGATGCTATGGATCAAACCCGGGTTGGCTGCGTGCAAGGCAAGCGCCCCCTACCTGCCGTCCCATCTCACCGGCCTCAAAGGACTCCTTCTCTTTAAGGTCCAAGTCTCTTCCTGCTTAACTATTTTTTATTACTTATTACTTTTTAATCAGCTGAAAAATGAAGAGTGTGTACAAGATTATTACCTGATGTTCTGGAACGGCTAAAGAGAACTGAACTATCCATGACTTAAGACATTGTTCCTGTGGCTGGAGATACAGTGCAGTGATGCTGCCCAGGCATGTACCTGACCTGGGCTCAACCCCCAAGCACTGCCAGGAGTGATCCCAGAGCAGAGAGCCACAAGGAAGCCCTGAGCACTGCCAGGTGTGGCCCAACACACCAAAGGAAAACCAACCGCCATATTCTTAATAACCACCCTCCCCTTATCCCCTCCCCTCTTCCTCTCCTCCATTAACCTTTAGTTATGCTGATGTATTGGTTACCTATTCACTGGTTTCTCCTTATTTTGTTGTCTATTTATTAATGAAATCATCTAATACTTGCCTTTTTCCTTATGACATTCACTTTGTATAATCCCCTTAAGCTCCTCCCATTAATATGCAAATGAAAAATTCTTCTAGTATGTATTTTTTCAAAATAAGTAAAATTTTATTTTTTAAATGAAACACCGTGAGACAGTTACAGACTTACAAACTTACATGAGTTTCAGTCACACAATGATTGAGTACCCATCTCTCCACCAGTGCCCATTCTCCACCACCAATGTTCCCAGTATCACTCCCACCCTCCCTCCCCCCCAAGCCCCCCGCCTCTGTGGCAGTCGCATTCTCCTTTACTCTCTCTCTCTCCTTTTGGGTGTTATGGTGTGCAATACAGGCCATCACATTTGATCCATAGTCTACTTTCAGCATGCATCTCCCATCCTGAGTGAGTCCTCCAAGCATTATTTACTTGGTGGTCCCTTTTCTATCCCAGCTGCCTTTTCCCTCAGCACATGAGGCCAGCTTCCAAGTCGTGGAGTGATACTTTTGGCTCTTAACTCTATTATTCTTGGGTGTTAATCTACCATTCTGTTACTTTACATTCCACAAATGAGTGCAGTCATTCTATGTGGGTCCCTCTCTTTCCGACTCATTTCACTTAGCATGATACTCTCTTCTTTTTAAAAAATTTTCTTCTTTTTTGAAAAAACAGCTGAATAGTATTCTTCTACATCTACTACATCGTCTATAGCCAATCACCTGTGGACAGGCTTTCATATTCTAGCTGTGATGATAACGCTGCACTGAACAGCGACATGGATTAAACATCTCCATGTTGATGTCTTCATGGTCTTTAGACTATAGATACCCGAAAGTGGGGTCCATCATAGGAGAGCTCTCTTGGCTTCCTAAGGAAGCTCCGTACTGAAATGCTTGCACCAAATTCCATTCCTCCCAACAATGCGTGCGGGTTCTTTTCTCTTCACACCTTCTCTAACATCACTGCTGCTTTTGACAGGGAAGCCATTCTCATGGGTGTGAGGTGGCTTCTCATTTGTAGTCTTATTTGCATTTCCCTAATAATCAGTGGACTGATGAGCATTTTTCATATGCCTTTTTCAAATCTTCTTTCCACTGGGGAAGGAATGTTCAAGGTTTACTCCTGGCCGTACACAGGGGACCATATTTGGTACCAGGCATCAAAATATGGTCAAGTGCATATACAATATGAGCCTTAACTACTGAATTATCTCTCTGGCCCTTCTGCCAATTTCCAACTGGGGTTCTTTGTTGTGTTCACTGTTCATATGCCTTGAAATAATAACTCACTATTACAATGGACCGGGGATACGGCATGATAGTAGAACACAGACTGCTTAAGTGCAAGTTCAATTACTGGACTACGAAAACAACCAACCAATAACCCCTAACAAACAATGATGCATAAATATTTTCTCCCATTCAGCAGCTGTCTTTTCATCCCATTAATATTTTATTTTGTTAGACAAAAGCTTTCTAATTGAATGTAGCCTCAACTATTTAAACTTGCATCTTCCTTGCTGTGGGGGTAGGCCCAAAGACATCTATGGGTGAGGAGAGAAATAATGGGGACTCAGAATAAACTCAAGATTTACTTGTTTTCAATTTAAAACCGACTATAAGCTTAGAAGTCTAGTGTACACCTCATGGTAATCTAAAAATCTTAGAAAAAAACAAATGAAACCTGGTGACTAAATAAGATATAGATCAAAAGACAAGAGAAGAATATAAAATAAGCTCAAAACCAAAAAGAAATACTGCAATAACAACCAGAATACACACATAGAAAATGGTAATGGGGGCTGGAGCGGATAGGGCGTTTGCCTTGCACATGGCCGAACCGGGTTCAATTCCCAGCATCCCATATGGTCCCCTGAGCACCACCAGGGGTAACTCCTGAGTGCAGAGCCAGAAGTAACCCCTGTGCATTGCCAGGTGTGACCCAAAAAGCAAAAAAAAAAAAAAAAAAAAAAAAAAAGTAGTTCCTTTACATCAATAATTTCACTAGATGTCAACGGCTTCCATCTCAAAACTTTGTATCTTAACTCCCTAATGTCCCTATCATAACTTTGAGCATTAGGATTTAAGATATACACTGGCAGGAGATACCCCTAACTACATTTAACAGTCTCACATGTTACTTATTACCCTATCTTAGAGCTAGTCTAGATTTTTTGTTAAGCTGGTTATTCTTTTCAGCCTCTAAATTGAATGGCATAGCTCACCACTGTCCAATTTTTCTTATTATGTCATTTCCAACTTTTACTATCTTTACATGGCTATCTCTAACATTGTTTAAGTATTTTTTTTTAATCAATAAAACTCAGGTCTCATGCAGGCAAGGTAGGAGTCTCACCTCTGAGCCACATCCCAGGTCCTACTGATAAATATTTTACTTCTACAAGAGTTCTTATTTTGGCAGGTGAGTTGTTTCAAAATATATTTTAGCTTTGCAACACAGTATGCTGATTGCTAAGGTAGCCCTGTCTTAGGTGACATATTCATCTTCAGATATGCCTAAACTATGCATTCTAGGACTCTCCATACTGATTTTCACAGGTGTTCTAGTGAGAGTGAAGAACATTTGTTTATCTTTTCTCTTGTTTATCTTTTCCGTTAGTGGTGTGTGAGATGGGAAGTTCAGCTTGTTCATTGCTCCGCTCAGGTGTTAGAAGGCTAGTGAACCGTTATTTCTTTGAACTAGTTAGTTATTCCAAAATCGGAGGTATACTCCGTTCCACTCTAAACTTTCCACTCCAATGGTTACTTCTATAATTCTCCTTGGAACTGGTCCACAAATGTTGCTCAATTTTGGATGCTGTTTATTAGCTGCATACCATTTAAGAATAACAACAGCTGTTTTGATGAACTGAAGTATTTTTAAATGAGCAGTTAAATTCACTGGATCGGCTTACCAATAAAAAGGCAGAGTGGCAAGATGGGTCAGAAAAAGAAAAACGCCAGGCTTCTGCTATCTATAAGAGATCCACTTGATAAACATACAATTAGCAAACTGTGTTGCAAAATTAAAATACATTTTGAAATAACTCACCTACCAAGGTAAGGCTCAAATCAAAAGGTTAAAAACA